TGGGGTGGGGGGCAGGGGTAGTGTTTAGCTTGCCAGCCTGGGGCAGCTCTGACTCAGATCAACGTGCTGCAGAGGGTTTGGCTGGGGCACAAGGGTGTTCCAGTGCAGGGCTAGTTGGCAGGCAGCCCTGCACTGAAGCACCCTCATGCCCCAACCAGCCCTGTTAGCATCTAAACATGCCTAAAGAATGTCACCGCAGGATAGTACTTGTATTTACAAGTACTAACCTGCAGCAGAGTTAGTTTCCTGCAGCATAATAGAGGTGCACATGTAAACACTGAAACTTCAATGCAGAGCTAATTAGGGAGATCCACAGTAAATGTCTTGTGTAGATGCACCTAGTCAGGACTTTGTTCCAATGCTCAATTGCAAGACTTTCCTATAAAACAGGGGTGGGCAAATATTTTGGCCGGTGGGCCACTTAACGAGCTTTGGTTACCTCTTGAAGGCCGCACAAAGTCTTTCAGAAAACATCATTTTAACAAATTATAGACAAAAAAACAAATCATATAGTAAAAATCAAACATCTGCTATAAATACATTTTAATTTTATTTCAAAAAATAACTTTTGCTTGGATTCATCTTTCAGTAGTGTATATAGAGGTGATTGCATAATAGCTCAAAATAAAGTCTTACTCTTGTATATTTGGGGGGGGGTTGTGTGTTGGTGGGGTGCACGTGTTTGGGGGGCAGGCGGCACACTAGGTCCCATAACCTGGCTAGGGGTCAGGAAAGGGAAGGAGAGGGGGCAGAGAGCACATGCAGCAGAGCTCACCCAAGCAGTATGGTGCATATATGGTCTCCCCTGATCTGGCCCACAGCTGCCCCCATGGTGCTCTGCATTGTGCCAAATCCTGCCCACTCCCACCTGGGGCAGCCCAAGCTGGGTTTTCTCCCACACCCACTCCACACCTGCTGATAGCCCTGCCCCTGGACAGTGCACACACCTTCCTGGCAGGACACCTGGCCACACACAGGTAGCTGCTCATTGCACTGGATGTCTGAGTGGGTGGAAGGCGGCCAAACACCGGAACTGGAGCCTTGTATGCTGGGGCAGGAGCTGCCTGGCTGCAGCTTCCCCCCAACCTGACTGGGCATGTGGTGCCTGGCATGTGCCGCCTGGCTACCTGTGCCACTTCCCTACACTATCTGCTGCCTGGAACAGCACAACAGGGGCAGGAGAAGGAGGAGCTACTGGAAGCAAGGGGAGCCAAGCAGTACCTGGGTGGCTGCAGCAGCATTGGCAGCAGTCCCACTGGGAAGCTGTGCATGCTGGCCAGGGCCAGGGTTGTGCCATTGGCAGGCACAGGGTGGGTGCAGGCAGGAGTGCGGTAGAGGCTGCCCCAGGCAGGGCTCAGCCCCATGCAGAGCACCACAGGGGCAGTTGTAGGTTGGATATAAATCAACTGGAAAGCCTTATTTTGCCCACCCCTGCTCTAGAGTCACAAATAAATAGCACTGTAAAATTATGGGAGACCCTGCCTTGCAAATCCAAGCCAGGGCCATGTGCCTGCTTACAGTACAACATCCCACAGGAGCCTTTAGACCAGTTGTCTTCAACCTTTTTAGGTCGGAGATCATTTTTGTAATTTAAGAGGAACCAAATATCTATCCCCCTCCTGTCCACCCAGAAGGTAAGTCTGTGTGGAGGGAAGGAGGGAGGTGAAAAGGGCTGTGGAGGGAGCAGGGCAGATTGAGGCCCCAGCCCTACCCCTCTCCCTCCCTCACTGCTGGGGCCCCAATCACCCTTACCCCTCAAACAGTAGTGAGGGAGAGGCAAGACCTGCACAGCTGGGGCAGGGGTAGTGACAAGCAGCTTGTACAGGGGGTGCAGGGAGGGGGCAGCACACAGCCCAGGAGGGCAGGGACGGTGTGTGCCCTTGGATCTGCATGCAGGGCAGGGCGAACTGGGGCAGTGCCAGGCTCTTCCTGTCTGGGCTGCGCTCAGACTGGGTGGCTGTAGCGGCGGCCCTGGAAGTGAGA